CCTGCCAGTGGACCTGCGGCAGCTCATCTTCTCGTACCTGTGCCTCTCGGACCTGGGCCACTGCGGCCTGGTCTTCAGGGGCTGGTGTGAGCTTGTCCTCAGCCTGGACAGGACGCGGTGGCAGCAGCTCTGCCTGGGCTGCCTGGAACACCGACACCCCAGCTGGCCCAACCGCCCCAGCGTGGAGCAGCGCTCCTGAAGACAGGCCTTCAAACACCACTCCCTGGCCTCCAAGACCTGGACCAAAAATACGCAAGACCCCGAGTCCTCCACATGCCTCTCCCTCTTCCGCAGGAGGAAGGGCCGGTGCCAGCTCTGCATTGGCGTCGGGGGTGAGTTCAGCAGCCTCCAGGCCACCCTGGCCGTCGCCAGCCCCTGTGACTGGCTGGTGCTGCTCCTGGGAGTGCATGAGGAGCCGAGCGAGGTGCTGCTGAAGGTGCTGGTGGAGGTGGTGGGGCAGGGCAGGCTGGGGGATGTGGCGCTGCTGGCCAGCATCGACCAACTCTGGCCCCACTGCCTGCCTCCACAGCCTGGTCCTCATACCTGCCTGCTTCTTCTCTGTGCTCTGCAAGGTGAGGCTCTGCGGAGACGCGGTGATGGGGGTGGCGAGGCCACTGAGGTGTCACCACCCAGGGTGTTCCCTGGTTTGTGGGTGTCTGGGGAGTGTGACCAGGGGTTCATGGGACTCCCAAAGCATGGAGGCTTGGGGTCTTTGTTTCTTTGTCCTCTGAATGTCTCCACTTGATTACAGACCACCACAAGTGCCACACAAATCACCACTAGCAAGAATGCCTTTGATTAATAAAGCAAATATATATATACATATATATACCAGGCTATTACAAATTACTACCAGCAATCAATAACACAGGATCAATCAACAGTGTGGCTGCAATCAGTAGTATAAACAATCATATAGCAACAACCCATAAGAGCAGCAAACAGGTAGATCTATACTATTACAGGTTACTGCAGACTTACCACCAACACAACAGCAGATACGCTTATGATAGATTACTTATATAATACAGGTATCAAGAGAATCAGGCAGATTTCAGAAGGGGCCAAACCATCCGTTGCAGGTGAATTATCAAGAGAGGTCATTGTTGTAGGGTAAACTAAAAGGGTTGTACTAGTGGTTAAATGATGATCAAATGACAATCAATGATTGCATAATAATTAAATGGTAATCAAATGGTGATTAAGAAATAATTGAATTATAATGAAACACTGATTTGACACTGATTTAAATGATGATTTAAATTATAATTTAGACAGCAGCTGAACACTCTACTACTTACTACACTTCTAATAATTAAGCTATAGCTGGTTACATAAATGTCACTAGCATACAATGTCCTTTTAGGCTTAATGTAAAATGTCATTTGCCTCATTACAGATATCAGATGCCAGGTAAGGGGTCTCTTAGCCTCGAGGTGTAACCCTGAGAGGTGTCCCTGCTCGTGGGAGATCCCCATCATGCAGCCCACTGCTGTGCAGGAGAGTTCAGTGGGCTTGGGGGCTGCAGGTATTTGTAGTGTAAAGTGATGGACTCATAGTCAGCCCCCCCTTTGGTGTTTGTGCGGGGGCACAGCTGCAGCAGCTGTAGTTTTGTCAGGTCCCAGCTGAGGCTGGCACCGTTCGCTCCTGATGAGGTGTGGCCCAGACTCCTTCGTCCCTGGGGAGGTCTGGCCTGGCACTGTTTGTGGTGTGCGCAGCGGGGCTGGGTCCAGCCAGGGCTGCTTGCAGGCAATGCCCTAACCACAGCACTGTTCACCGGGTCAGAGCAGTGCATCCCTGACACCATCCCAGAGGGGCTCCCAGCTGTCCTGGGGCGGGAGGGCAAACCGAACCAACTGCCAAAGCAGGACCAGCGAGGTAATAGAATCTCGCATCAGAGATGCTCCATGTCACAGTCTGGGCGAGCTGGGTGTCCCTGGACAGGGTCTGACATGTCGTAGCAGGTTGTGTGGAGAGTTCAGCCAGTTTAGGAGAGGAAAAGTATGTGCAGCACGGGACATTCTCAGAGAGAGAGGCTCCTTTTTGGATAAAAATGAACTCTGTTTTAAGAGGGTGTAGCACACCACCACTTTGAGCAACCAATAGATGCTGTCAATTTCCTTTTTTTTTGCCTGGAACAGCCAATAGATGATGGTGGTTTTTTTGGGTTTTTTTGGTTTTTTTTTTCAGATAAATTTTACTTTTCTAGACGGTTTCCACTTTTCCAGATGATAAGTTGCCATTACAGTCCCTTGGTTTTTGCACTTTATTGGTGGTATCTTGGGATGTCTCTGGTGTCTCAGTACCCACCTGCATCTCCGCGAGGCAGCTGCACTTCCCAAGGATGTTTCTGGCTCCCAGGCTGACAGGTGCTTGCTGATTTTCCCCATCTAACCAGCTGCCTTTTTGACTGCCCACATGGCAAGGCATGAGCAACCCAAGACCCCTGGGAGCTGGCACTCCCTGCACCACCGCACTGCCCCAAAAACTGCCACTAATGTGTGCTCTGCCCTCAGGCTGGGCTGGGAGCCCTTGGCTGGGACACCCAGGGTCTTCTCTGGACCTAAGCCAGGACATGTGATCACAGGCCCAGCTTGCTGCTGTGTCCACTCCAACAACACTTTGGTCCCCATGGGCAGCTGCTGACAGGTCCGGAGTGGGATGTGCCCAGTGCACGTGCTGTGCCTCCAAAAACGGGACCTTCCTCACGATGAGTCAGCCCATTGTTCGCTATAATTTATGGTTTAATTTCCTTTTCACCATTTTATTATGTGATATACTTAACTTAATCAGTCTGAAAGTCCCCAGGAGAAGGATAACGTACTGGCACGCCATGGGGAAACTGAGTCACAGTTCTGCTGAGAAAGTCTGTGTTTGTCTGTGGCCATGTGCCGTGTTGCTGGAGCAGGTGCATGGTGACTTGCTCAGCGATGTCTGCTGTGTTTGGCTGGTCAGCGTGGCCGTGTTTCGCCTTTCAGGCTGTCATGCTGGTCTCCACGTGCAGCCACCCTTCAGCTGCTGTTGGTGGAACTAGAGCATCTCCTCCCAAATCTGTCAATGTAAAACAAATTAAACTGACGCCAATCCTACTGGCAGTGATTAAAACCCTGTGAGCTGCAACTTCAGAAGGGCTTTCACAAGCAGCCTCTCAGAAGCTGATTTGATTGTGTCCCTTTTAATTACCTTTTTTTTTTAATTTAGAAAAGGGAAGGTACGATTCAGTCTGGAGCAGGCTAGCGGTCTGAAGGGATTTCTGCGTGGTTGTCTTTGCGTACAAAGAAATGCATTTCAAAACCTGTTTGCAGTATGACCACTTCTGAGAGTGTTCAAGGCTGAAAACAAATCTTAGGATAGTGCATTGGCTGCCAGCTCCAGAAATCTCTGTAAAATTGCCCCAGCTGACCTGTCACAAGCTATTGATCTGTCTGCCTTTAACGTGGTGTGCTGGCCAATGAAGGGATAACCTCAGAAGAGAAAACAATGATTCCTGAGCTTCCTGGTCAAATTAGGAGCACAGTGAAATTCCAAGCACACTGCTCAGCTTTTCTGGCCTAGCCCCTCTGTACCTTGTCACATTTCTAAAGCAGAGGCTTGCCTTGCCTGTGCAGGAGAGAGATATTTGGCCACACACAGTCATCCTGGTGGTTTGCATTGCCTTGCAATCACTGTGTGCATTGCCTAGCAAAGCAGGAAGGCTGTGCAGCAGCACGGCACACAGTTTTACCTGTTTTGCTTTGTGCTAGATGCATCGTAGGTGTAGCATCCTTCCCCCAAGTCCACTGACAGCTCCAGACAGAACTTCAGCTCCCAGGCCAGCCAGGCAATGCTTCATGTCATATCACCAGCCACTTCACCCAGTAAGCCTCCAGTCCACTAATGATGCCAGCTGGCACATGCACATCTCCG